CTTTGTTCTTCAATCTTTCCCAGCATCAGGGTCTTCTCCAGTGAGTGCTCCCTTCTCATTTGGTGGCCAAAGTATTTGAGCTTCAGCTTCAGTATCTGGCCTTCCAGGGTCAGGGTTGATTTATTTTAGGATTGACTGATTTGATCTCTTTGCAGCCCAAGGGACTCCCAAGAGTCTTCTCCAGGACCATAATTCAGAAGCATCTACTCTTTGGCGCTCGGCCTTCCTTACGGTTCAGCTCTCGCAGCCATACATTACTACTGGGAATACCATTGCTTTGACTGTACGGACTTTTGTTGGCAGAGTGATGTCTCTGCTTTTTATTATGCTGTCTAGGTTTGCCACAGTTTTCCTCCCAGGGAACAGGTGTATTTTAATTTCATGGCTGCAGTCACTGTCTGCAGTGATCTTAGATCCCAGGAACATGAATTCTGTCACTGCTTCCATGACTTCCCCTTCTATTTGCCAAGGAGTGATGGAGCTGGATGCCATGATCTTAGTTTTTTTGAGATTAAATTTCAAGCTAACTTTTGCACTCTCACCCTTAGCAAGAGACTCTTTAGGTCCTCTTCACTTTCTGCCATTATAGTGGTATCATCTGCTTATCTGAGATTGTTGATGTTTTCCCCAGCAATCTTAATTCCAGTTTGTGATTCATCCAGGTCGGCAATTTGCATGATGTATATAGGGCTGCGGTGGCTTAGAGGTTAAGATGCTGAGCTGCAGACCGGTAGGTCTATAGTTCGGCAGTTCGAGACCCTAGTGCTGCATGACGGAGCGAGCTCCTGTCTCTGGCCCCAGCTCCTGCCAACCTAGCAGTTCAAAAGCAAGAAATTGCAAGTAGATACATTGGTACTCCTTTGCTGGGAAGGTAACAGTGTTCTGTGCGCCTCGGCATTTAGCCATGCTGGCCACATGACCATGGAAACATCTTCATACAGCGCTGGCTGTTTGGCTTGGAAATGGAGATAAGCAGTACCCCATAGAGTCAGATTCGACTGGCTTTCGAGCAAGGGAAACCTTTACCTTTACTTACTCTGCATATAAATTGAATAAGCAGGGTGACAATATACATCCTTGCCATACTCCTTTTCCTATGCTAAACCAATCAGTTGTTCCATATTCGGTTCTAACTGTTGCTTCTTGACTCTTATACAGGTTTCTCAGGAGACGTGTGAGGGGGTCTGGTGCTCCCATCTCTTTAAGGACTTGACGCAGTTTGTTGTGATTCACACAATTAAAGGCTTTAACATAGGCAATGAAGCAGAAGTAGATGTTTTTCTGGTACTCCCTGCCTTTCTTCACAATCCAGCAAATGTCAGCAATTTGATCTCTGGTTCCTCTCTTCGAAACCCAGCTTGTACTTCTGGCAGTTCTCTATTCACGTACTGCTGAAGCATAGCTTGTAGGCTCTTGAGCAGGACCTTGCTAGTGTGTGAAATGAGTGCAATTGTGTGACAGTTTGAACATTCACTGGGATTACCCTACTTTGGAATTGGAATGTAAGGTGACCTTTTCCAATCCTGTGATCACTGTTGCATTTTCCAAATTTGCTGGCATATTGAATGCAGCACTTTAACAGCATCATATTTTAGGGGTTTGAATAGCTCAGCTGGGATACCGTCATATCCACTAGCTTTGTTGTTAGTAATGCTTTCTAAGACCCATTTGACTTCGCACTCCAGGATGCATGGCTTAAGGTCACACTGCCGTGGTTGTCGGGGACATTGAGGTCCTTCTTGTATAGTTCTTCTGTGTATTCTTGCCACCTCTTCCTAATCTCTTCTTTTTTTTGTTAGGTCCCTACCGTTTTTGTCCTTTATGATGGCCAGCTTTGCACAAAACGTTCCCTTGATTTCTCAAATTTTCTTGAAGAGATCCCTAGTCCTTCCCATTCTATTGTTTTCCTCTATTAGTTTGCATTGTTCATTCAGGAAAGCCTCCTTATCTCTCCTTGCTGTTCTCTGGAAATCTGCATTCAGTTGGGTAAATCTTTCCTTTTCACCTTTGTCTTTCGCATTCCTTCTTTCCTCTGCTATTTGTAAAGCCATCAGACAGCCACTTTGCTTTTTTGCATTTCTTTTTCCCTGGAATGGTGCTGATTGCTGCCATCTGTACAATGTCACGAACCTATATCCATAGTTCTTCAGGCACTCTATCAAATCTAGTCTCTTAAACCTATTCTTCACTTCCACTGTATATTCATAAGGGATGTGATCTAGGTCAAATCTGAGCGGCCTAGTGGTTTTCCAGACTTTCTTCAGTTTAAGCCTGAATTTTGCAATGAGCAGCTCATGATCAGTCAGCTCCAGGTCTTGTTTTTACTGACTGTATAGAGCTTCTCCATCTTTAACTGCAAATGACATAATCAATCTGATTTTGGTGTTGCCCATCTGGTGATGTCCATGTGTAGAGTAACCTCTTAGGTTATTGGAAGAGGGTGTTTGTGTCTGTTATCACAGTTACCTTTTGAATTCCTACTTTAGCATTCCAGTCCCCTATGATGATAAAGACATCTTTTTTTGGTGTTAGTTCTAGGAGGTGTTGTAGGTCTTCATAGAACCGGTCCACTTCAGCCTCTTCTGCGTCAGTGGTTGGGGCACAGACTTGGATTATGGTGATGTTGAATGGTTTGCCTTGGATTCAGACCAAGATCATTCTGTTATTTTTGAGATTGTATCCCATTACTGCCTTTTTCACTCTCTAGTTGACTATGAAGGCCACACCATTTTTTCTACGGGATTCTTGGCCACAGTAGTAGATATCACGGTCCTCTGAGTTAAATTCCCTCATTCCCATCCACTTTAGTTCACTGATTCCCAAGATGTCGATGTTCAGTCTTGCCATCTCATTTTTTACCACATCCAGCTTACCTTGATTCATAGATCTTACATTCCAAGTTCCTGTGCAGTATTGTTCTTTGCAGCATCAGACTTTCCTTTCACCATCAGACACATCCATAGCTGAGCGTCCTTTCGGCTGTGGCCCAGCCACTTCATTCTTTCTGGGGTTACTTGTACTTGCCCTCTGCTCTTCCCCAGTAGCATATTGGACACCTTCTGACCTGAGGGGCTCCTCTTCTGGCATCATATCTTCTAGCCTTTTGTTACTGTCTATGGGGTTTTCTTGGCAAAGATACTGGAGTGGGTTGCCATTTCCCTTCTCCAGTGGATCGCGTTTTGTCTGAGTTCTCCACTGTGGCCTGTCTGTCCTGGGTGGCTCTCCATGGCATAGCGCGCAGCCTCATCAAACCCCACAAGCCCCCTTGCCACGTCAAGGCAGCAATCCATGAACGGCCTCTTACCATCGCCAATTGTAAGGTATCCAACTGTGCGTTGGTAAATGCTTTCCTATGCTAGTGATTATGTAAGTCGGTAAGGTAAGATGGAAGAGTTAAAGGAGAAGGTGGCAAGCCGCTTGTAAAAGGGCCACCCTGGTTTAATCCTCGCTTATTTTCTGGCAACACCTACCTGATCTACATTGAGAAGGCATTTGTCAAAGCATTCGTTAATGCAAACCAGGATTTGAGAAGGCATTTGTCAAAGCTTTTGTTAATGCAAAACTGCGAGCTGAATCCTAGTTTTCACAAGCTAATCAGACTTAAATAAAGCCATGGTTTTGCATTACATCTGAACTGAGCATAAGCCACCAAAAGCTAAAGATGGCAGTTTAAAGTAACACTGTCTTTGTCTGACAATGAGTTGTATGGGCAATTATGAAGAAACTAGCAGTAAAGCCCGTTGTGGAAATAAATACAACGAGATCTAGAAAGAGGCTCTGGGGGAGTGCTCTGGCTTTGGGCAAACAGTGTCATTTTGCTGTGGTGACCTCAGCAGGGTATAATGACAGAGTCCACTGTTTTCTCCAGAGGAACTGATCTCTGCTCCCTGAAGAGTAGTTGTAATTTTGAGTGATCTGTAGCCCTCACCTGGAGATTGGCAACAATTGTTACCCAGGATGAAATGGCTGGTTTGGAGGGTGGAGTCTATGGCATTCTACCTGTCTGAGGTCCCACCCCTCTGCAAACCCCACCCTCTCCAGGCTCCACCCCTCAAATCCCCAGGAATTTGCCAGCCTGGAGTTGGCAACCCCATCTCCTTCCCAGCTAACCATCAACCTACCATTATCTGCCCCTTTGACTTCAGCTGACTTCCGCCCTCCCTTCTGCAGAGCAATTGTAATTTTGAGTGGTCTCCTGCCCTCACTTGGAGATCGGCAACAATGGTTCCCCATGAGGGACTGAGTGGTTTGGAGGGTGGAGTCTATGGCATTGTACCTGTCTGAGGTCCCACCCCTCTGCAAACCCCACCCTCTCCAGGCTCCACCCCTCAAATCCCCAGGAATTTGCCAGCCTGGAGTTGGCAACCCCATCTCCTTCCCAGCTAACCATCAACCTACCATTATCTGCCCCTTTGACTTCAGCTGACTTCCGCCCTCCCTTCTGCAGAGCAATTGTAATTTTGAGCGGTCTCCAGCCCTCACCTGGAGATTGGCAACAATGGTTCCCCATGAGGGACTGAGTGGTTTGGAGGGTGGAGTCTATGGCATTGTACCTGTCTGAGGTCCCACCCCTCCTCAAACCTCACCCTCTTCAGGCTCCATCCCTCAAATCTCCAGGAATTTCCCATCGGGAGTTGGCAACCCTATCAGGATTGGCCCCAATGTGTTTTCTCCCAAAGGCCAAAGTAGGTGACTGGACCAAACTAAGTTGCCTACCATCAGGCACTGAGGGGAAAGTAGGGTTGCCAGCTATAAGGAGGGAAATACCTGGAGTGTTGGGGGGTAGATTCTGTAGAGGGCAGCATTGGGGGGGCGTGGAAGGACTCAGCAGGTATAATGTCATAAGGTCTACCCTCCAAAGCAGGCATTTTCTCCAGGGGAAACTGATCTCTGTCATCTGGAAATCAAGCAGCTGTCATCATTCTCTGCTCCCCCTATGAGGTATGTTAAGGTTGAAAGTGTGTGAGTGGTCCATAAGCCCCCAGGCAGCTTTTAAAACATGATCCTGGGACCTACACACCACCAGACATTCCAACTGCCTTGCGGGCGGGGGGAGTATGAGGTGTGGAATGGAGTGAAGTCCAATCAGCTTCCATATGCAAAAGACCTTGAAGGTTCCATATGCAACTGACATTCCAACTGCCTTGCGGGGAGGGGGGTGAGTTTGAGGTGTGGAATGCAGTGAAGTCCAATCAGCTTCCATATGCAAAAGACCTTGAAACGCTGGGCGGGACTGCACAAAGCAGCCAGTCAACCCAGCCAGCGTCTTCTGACTGACAGTTCAAGCGTCCATACACTAAAGGAGTGCATTTTAGAACTTTGGCACCCACTATTCAATTATATACAAGGAGAGATTAAAAAATGTACCTCTGGGAACTTTGATACAGTAGCCATTTTCATCACGGACCGGTTCATCTTTCTCTACGTCGTATTTAATCACTTCGTAGCACATTATTTTCTAATAAAATGTATAAACAAGTACACATTATATTTTTCTACAGAAACATTCAAATATAATTTATTTCAAAAAGGAAAAATTGGTAATTCCCATGTGGATGGTTTAATATTAATTAGTGGAACAGATTGTCATAGATTGTATTTTGGTTTTGTAAAGTGTCGTGGGAAACTCTTACCAGTGGTAAATCATTAAGATGAGATGTTAAATGTCTGGTCATATGCATACATGTACCCAACTCCCCCATGGGATACATACATTTCATTGCTGAGAGAGGGTACATTTACATGCCCCATCCTTGATCTGCTCACAGTTGCCACCCCCTCATCACCCGCCTCATCACTTGTACTGGTTGCAGAGATATTTTGCAACCGGGGTGTTAATGGTACTGGTTGCAGAGATATTAGAAAACATATAATTATCTTGTCTTTTAAAAAATCCTCGCAGCTTGTGGAATGGGCAGGCTGTGTATTATTTTTTATTTACTTTCTTTATATGCCACCTTTCTCACCAGTGGGGACCCAAATCAGTGTACATCATTCTCCTCTCCTCCTTTTTATCCTCACAAAAATCCTGTGAGGTAGGTTAGGCTGAGAGGGTGTGTCTGGCCCTTCCGTGGCAAGAGTGGGGATTTGAATCTGGGTCTCCCAGATGCTAGTACACCATGCTGGCTCTCATTATTATATGGTGCCAGTGTTCATGCGCATGCATGCACTATGATGCATCCTGTATCTTCCCATTCAGAGATTTAACTTCTGGAAAAATGGAGTACAGGGCCTGAAAGCTGAAGAGGTTTAGTGCAAGTGTGTGCACATCAACAATATTTTAAGAAAGTTCTCTCCAAGAATCACAAAATAGGATCAGTGATTTACCAGGAAAAATCAGGGTTCTCTCTAGTAGATAGGAATAATGAGAGCATATGTAAACATTTGTCCTTACCTTATGGAAGTAGTTTAATCTTCCTACAGCTCCTATTTTCCCAGTATAATTCACAAATCCAACATTTCCTTCAGTTGCAGCATAGAATTCATAGATGCGGATGTTTCCAAACCTTCTGATAAATTCCCTCCAAACATCTGCTCTCAAGCCATTACCTAAGGCGATCCTTACTCTATGATCACGGTCACTGTCTTTCTGCAGACAAAGGAACATGAAGTGTCAATTACAAAAGGACATAAATATTTTTAGGCAGCAAGTGATCTCATCAGAAACACAACTTTTAGCACTTCACACATGCAAAAGCAAGCAATCCTGACCAACTTCTTTGAATCCCCCAGAATTAACTCAGCTTTGCATTTTCTGTGCTGTAGATACTTATTCCTCCTAGAGGAAAAGACATACAAAATAAAATAATGCAATAGCTTCTACGGACCAACTTCTGCTGGTGTCTGAGTGCATGCAAGATCTTCGACGTGGTCTCTGTGCTTCACACCCATGGGATCTAGTGTGCACGTGCTGGATCGATTGGCATTGTAGCAAGCTCTTAACGGATTTTCGCACCCAGACCTCGGGCATGCGCAGGAACCCCACCGCACATGCCCAGAAGGGTGGGCATGGACATCCCACCAGTTCCTTTCTTACTGCCACATTGGAAAGACCTTTTCTTTGTCGGTCTGATCGGTTCTCTTTTTTGGCTATTTGCCTCACGGCTCTTCGGAGTTTTCCTCAGTTTTCTTCTTTTTTCTTAGCTTTCTTCATTTGCTCTTCAAAAACTAAAAAAAAAAGTTGTTTTTTGTTGAGGGGGAAGTTGCCGGTTACTTCAGTTTGGCCTTCGGGCTCCCCCCCCCAACCCCTTCTTTCTTCTCCGTTTATCTTTTATGGAGAAGAAGTGGGGCTATTTCAACCGCTGAAAGGGTTGCGGCAGTAAACTTGCTCCACCTGACCGCCACACCCTCTGTATTTTTTGTTTGGGGGAATCTCACTGACCTGAGTCTTGTCAGCACTGTGCTAGGTTTTCGAACCAGACAAGAAAAAACCGAGCTGTGTGCCTTAAAGTGGCGCTACTTGAGTTGGCGTTACATCCTCTCTTAGTGATGGAGTCCGAGAGACCTTCAACATCGAGGCTCTCCTCCGACATCGGTCAACCGACATTGAAGCCACCGGCATCGAAGGCGCAATCCTCCGCTTCCACTCCGGTGAAGAAGAAGCCCAAGTCAAGTAAGGAGCACAAATCCGCAAAAAAGGGCTCCTCTAAGTCCCTAAAGGCAGCAAAGAAGGGGAAGGTAGCGGTGTCTGCACTGTGTGATGCCCCTAAAGTTCCTCCTGCTCCAACGGCAGTATCGGCATCGGAGGCCCATGCCACTCTGCTGATACCGACCATTCAGCTCCTGGACTCTCCTATACAACAACTGGAGCATCCTTACTCCAATATTGAGACGGTGGAGCTCCTTAGTTGTCTGATGGATGCAGAGCCTTCTCCCTCTCCTTTCCCATCGTCGACATCAACGGTGTCAGAGGCTCCCGACATAGATTCACGTCAGAATCAAAACGCCTCTAGAAGCACGCAGCGTCACTCTCCACGTCTGCATCTTGAACCTATCGATATCGATGACTGAGTTTATAGGGACCGCTCTCAAAGGCAGACTAATACTTTGTCTCCGAGACGTACTGATCCAGAAGTCGATCCCCCCCCCCGAGTCTTTCTACCTCCCCCCACCTCTGTCTTGGGATCAACACCAACTGAGGTATCTCTATGAAGGTTATCCACCATCCATGCCCTGGTTGACTCCGGCGGGCTATTCTGACTGGGATCGTTACTCGACCCACTTTGCTCACAGGTCAAGGTCGCCCTATAAATCTAGACCTTCAGCATCTCTGTCTCGTCCTTCGGCCGAGGATCCTTCCCACCATAATCCGGAACTCAATCGTTCTCCCAACCCCCAAGTCGTACCACCAAAGCTTTTAACTAGTCAAATGGAAGTCACTCTGGTCCAAATGCCAGATCAGGGCTCCTCTGATTCTGCAGAAGAGGATTCTGATATGGAGGCCTCAGAGGTTCACACCTCCCCTGACCACAAGTCTCCTAACCAAGCTGTCGCAGATGATCTCCCTATATCTCCATCCGACAATCTTACTTCCTATGCTGACCTCGTCAAAAGAATGGCCCATTCTCTAGGCCTCTCAGTCGTTCAACAACAACCACAGGTTACAGATGCCGTCTTCGATATCGTGCAACTGGATACCTCCACTACCATAGCACTGCCCATGTCTACGGTCCTTTTAAAGTGCGAAAGCCCAATGGGTGAAGCCTTCATCAGCTCAGTGTCAACAAGGCGCCTGGACCACATGTATAGAGTCCAGGAGACCGGAGCTGAATTTTTATTCTCCCATCCTCAGCCAAACTCAATGGTTGTAACATCCACGTCCAAATCAAAACGAACACACTCTGCACCTTCTGACAGGGAAAGTAGAAAATTAGTTGCGTTTGGAAGACGCTTCTACTCCATGGGAGCGTTGGGAGTAAAAACCACGAATTACTTAGCCTGCATGAGCAGGTATCAGTACACTCTGTTTTTGCCACCAGAGCCAACAAAAAGTGTCCTCTGTTCTGCAGCCGAGGTGGCAGGGACCCACAGTCTCTAGGGGACGGTCTCCTCTATCCGTGGTCCAGGGAACTTCTCTACCTCTTCCCTCCACTACCCCTGCTTCTGAGAGTAGTCTGCAAAATCATCAGCAACGGAGCAGACTGCATCCTGATAACCCCGTGGTGGCCGAGGCAGCCATGGTTCTCGGCCATCCTCGATCTGTCAGCAGGGGTCTACCATCAATTTCCTCTGGCACAGGACCTCCTCTTCCTGTCCGACTCCCCGCTCCTGTACCACGACGTGCCACGGATTAAGTTGACAGCCTGGAGAATAGTGTCAACAGCTTTTCCACCCGCATAGCAAATGTTTTGCTAAACGCCTGAAAACCCACTATGCGAAAGTTGTACCCATTACAAGTGGAAAAAATTCTGTTCCTCCTTGGGTGACGATGCCCTTCGAGCCACCTCCGTAGGCCTCGAGAAAGTTTTCCAATTCCTCCTGTCTCTAGCTGACTCGGGACTTTCTCACTCCTCGTTAAGAGTTTATTTGGCCGCACTTTCGGCCTACCATGTTCAAGTTGAGGGATGCACACTGCTTTTGCATCCGCTTTAGAAACGTTTCTTGGTCTGTTGCACCTCTACCCTCCCATCAAAACTCTCATCGTCCCCTGGGACCTTCCTCTAGTTCTTCGTCAGCTCATGAGGAAACCCTTTGAGCCGCTCGCAACTTGCGAGCTAAAATTCCTGTTGTGGAAGACGGCCTTTCTGGTTGCTGTCACCTCAGCGAGGCGAGTTGGAGAAATACTGGCTTTCAGGCATGACATGCCCTACTTGTCATTTTTGCCAGACGGTGTCTGCCTTGTACCTGACATCTCGTTTCTACCAAAGGTAGTGTCAGAATTCCACCTGCAGGCAGAGGTCTTCCTCCCGGATTTCTTCCTGGCTCCAACATCCTCAGAGGACTGTTACACACATTGGATGCAAAATGTGCGCTTCTGTTCTACCTGAACAGAACCCGCCCAACGAGACGTGACTCCCAACTTTTAGTCTCCTACGCACCAGCAAGACTGGGGACTCGCATCACGGCTCACCACCTCTCAAAGTGGATTGAAGGTCTCATCCGCCTCTGCTACCTGATCGCCAAACAGCCATTGCCTGGCCCTATCAGGGCCCATTCAACCCAAGCTGTCGCAGCCTCCACTGCCTTCCTCCAGGGAGTTCCCCTGACGGACATTTGCAGAGCCGCTACGTGGGCTACGCCTAACACCTTCATAAGGCAGTACACCCTAGACGTCCATAAGAACTCTAGTACCAACATGGGACATCACATCTTGTCTTCAGTTACGCAGTAAGGACCTGCCAGCACCCTCCTCTAGGTAGACCACTGCTCGCTAATCTCCCATGGGTGTGAAGCACAGAGACCACGTCGAAGATAAACAGGTTGCTTACCTGTAACTGGTGATCTTTGAGTGGTCATCTGTGCATTCACACCACCCGCCCTCCTTCCCCGCTGCTGTCAGCTTCTACATTTTTCATAGGGGTTGATTTGTGGTGGTTGGAAGGAACTGGCGGGATGTCTGCGCCCACCCCTCTGGGCATGCGCGGTGGGGTTCCTGTGCATGCCCGAGGTCTGGGCGCGAAAATCTGTTAAGCGTTTGCTACAATGCCGATCAATCCAGCGTGTGTGCACAAATCCCATGGGTGTGAATGCACAGATGACCACTTGAAGATCACCAGTTACAGGTAAGCAACCTGTTTTTCCTGAATCACAAAACTCTTTATCAGGGAGAACAGACAGAGATCAAGATTCCGCAGCTTGTTGAATCCATGGCAGCTCCATCCCCCCAGTGACTCCAGTTAGCCACCTTCCTGCCGTTTCTTGAGAAGGCAGCAGGTTCTTCAGTTATACAGAAAAATTCTTCAGGCTATTCGTCAGGTACCCCATGAAGCTGATCATCATTACTTGAGAGACTGGGCAAGGGCAGAATTCAAAAGGAATAAAGGTGCTACAGAAGAGGATATAATCAGGATGATGATCACTCAGGGAAACATACAGCTTCAAGAACTTGAGAGAACTCTAAAACTGGCAAAATCCTAGCCTTAATTGTGGAATATAATGTCCTTTCAATGTGGCTTCCTCAGAGGACATTAGATGTGGAGGGACTTCTCAAAGAACCAAAAAGTGATGCTTATACAACTGTTGTAGGGGTGCTGAGCTTGATAAAATTGAGCCGTGATGGGCAGAAATCTGTAGAGAAAGACCAGCAAGGGATAATGTCTAAACCTGACTTAGACACGTCAAAATGCAAAAGTGGATTGCTACCCCAAAAATATGGATTATGCCTATGAAAAGCATTGCTCAGAATGTAATGAAGCAGTGGATTAACTAAACTCTACCCATGATTTTGTAAAACCTTTCTCTGTCAGATTGAAGAATTTACTCTATTCAAAAAAAAAAAAAGACTGTCTGTTAAGTGCCGTTAAGTTGCTTCTGACTTATGGCGACCCTATGAATTAACGTTCTCCAAAATGTCCTGTCGTTAACAGCCTTGCTCAGGTCTTGCAAACTGAGGGCCATGGCTTTCTTTATAGAGTCAATCCATCTCAAATT